AAGTTTATTCCAAATGTTCAGAATGAATAAAGAAATGCAGCCAATATTTATTTGATTACAGATGAGGTCCGGAAAAGANTTGCAAGTAAAATGGGAAATACACGACACCAACTTGCTGGCACCATCAAGTGATTGTACCTCCAAGCTCGAAGCATATGACGTACCAGCATGCTCGTACAATGGCTGCGTTTCTTTATACATTCCGGATAATCCCATTTCACAGCCGGAACAAACAGAATACGTTTGAAATATACGTTAGCATATCATCAGGAATATTCTAAAGAATAAGTAAACAAAAAAGTTTATTCCAAATGTTCAGAATGAATAAAGAAATGCAGCCAATATTTATTTGATTACAGATGAGGTCCGGAAAAGATCCAAATGAGCAGGGCCCAAATTTTATAATTTGTGAACCATTTTGTTAAACATTGATTTCGTTTTTTAAATTCACACTGGAATACTGTTAATGGCGTCAGCATGTTGGTGTCCTGTATGGGCCCTTTAAAAACTGCATCAGTTTTGAGATTTAAAACATACTCTGTACTTCGAAAAAGTGATCAAAACTCGACATTTTTAATTTTTCAAAGTCACATATATATGTATGTAAATATTCGAGCACAACAAAGATAATTCCTGCTGAATAAAATTTTCATTGATTGATGCCTTTTTGACAATTCCGCTTAGCAGCAACAACTATGACGCAGCATTAAATACACGACAAATTCTTGACCATATCCACAAGAATTCGAGATGCGTTTTGCTATTTTCATAGTTCTATTAGTTAACTCTCAACTTCTTATCGCGCAGGGTTTCGAAAACAATCGTCTACAGGTTTGTACCTTAAGAAGCCACTAACTAATTAATCCTTAACATTCGCATTTTCTGTTATTTTTAGAAACAGCACAGAAAGATGAAGCGCATGTTGCCGCACATGTACGCACAGTTCGGTGAAGAATCTATGCAAAGTGGTGGTGGCACTGGGGATGGGCAACGCGATGGAGGAGTTTCAGGCGCAGGAAATGAAGGCGAATGTAAGCAAAATCCCATGATGGCCGGAAATGCCAAGCAAAAAGCAACAAGCATTGCGCAGAAGGCAGCCCAGGAAGCCAAAGCTGCATCCGACGCCCAACAGGCGGCTGGCGAGGCAGCTTCTTTGCAAGTTAAGGCACAATTGGCCGAGAAAGCTATGCAAGCCGCTAAAGCAGCAGAAGCTGCACTCGCTGGCAAACAACAAATCGTGCAACAAT